TACAATGCAAATGCACAACAAAGATAACAAGATGACTGTTTACTTGTGTGTGTGGAAGGTAAAGTTCCTGACCCACTCAAAGTTTGGCCATTGTTGGTTCTGAGCGATTAGCATACGCAATTGCTTGCGGCTGTATATTGTGTTTTAGTAGGTTTTAAAGCCTACACGCTTTCTTTGAACGGAAAGGAAGCTTCCTGCTTTTTTTTTACCCTGCCATATCCTCTTCATCTCTCTTTTTCACAGCTTGTTTTGTTTGTCTGCAGGGACTTGCATGTACATATTCCAGATCCACACTATCTAATGTTTCGTTTGCCCCCTTCTGTACGATTTCTCTTGGTGGAGGTGGGTTGATTCACCTCTCCACCCTTGGCAAATGCCCTTTCTCTTTTCGACTGCCAAATATCTCCTCACCCACCACCAAACTGAGCCCATGCCAACCCCTCACTTCCTCCTGAAACCCGCCCTGAGATACGAGGGTGTTTTAATAAATAAGGTAACAAGACCATTGCATCAAACCTAGTCTTGCAGAGCCAGGCATTTGAAAATCGACATAACATCAGGCTCACTTTGCAGCTTAGTCTATAACAGTGGTTCCTCTGCATATTTTGCATGTCTTCCTGATCATTCAACTCATCAGCTTTTTAGTAGAGACTCCATGACCTGAAATTAATTTGTGTCAAATGAGAGAGACATCCAAAATGTGTGCTGTTGGGGGGCCTCAAGGACCAGGGTTGGGAACTGCTGGTCTATTATACCTGGAGAAAGTTATCAGTTAGCATTCCTGTTTATCTCAATGACAATTGCTAGCCTGGCACAGGGTGTTCTGGAGGTACATAATTTGTAATGTGCCATATTTCCAACCAGCAACCTACTCTCTATGATTTTCGAGCAATCCTGAAGAACTTAGCTGGTTCAAGTGTGTTTGAATATGGTTGGTGCTAAACTCTGCAGGACAGTGGACCCACATGTATTTCCAGGACAACCTGTGCCAGGCCAGCAACTGCCAGGAGCAGGGTCCAAGACCTTTAATCTAATCACTGCAAGAACCTTTGCCATCCTGAGGTGTGACAGCCAAAAGTTCAAAATCGGGCACCTTGATTCTGGCTTAAACCCATCCAGTTAGACAGGAAGAAATTGTCTGAATGACATGTTAAGGAACAAACAACAGATTGTTTTGTTTGTCCATGCTGTTTAGGGGTGTGTAAATCTGAAATGTATGATATGAGCTTGTCGTCATCTCAAGCGCAGCATGATTCATTCAGTTTCTTACTGCAGAGCTATTAGCACATGCAGAGGGTCTCTATCAGAATAGCAAAGTCCGTTTTGCTTATTTTAGGCCAAAAACCATTGACTCAGACAGGAAGAGATCATCTGACTGACATGTAAAGAGACAGACCACAAGTTTATTTAGTTTTTAAGCACCACATAAGGTTGTGTGAACCTGAAATGGAAGTAACACGTTGCCCTCATCCTAAGCCCAATGTGATTTAATCTTTTTTTTTTTAATGCAAAGCTATTAGTGCACATGGATGGTCTCTGATTAACCAACCTCTTAATCACACTGTTTACCTAAGCACCTTTTTTAGGGGCAGCTTTATGTCTTTCTCCCTTTCTTTCTCCCTTAATCCATCTCTACCACTAACCCAATCTCATTAATGATCAGTCGATCGAGTTTGGCTATGTTCTGCTGGAGTCTAGAGTGGTTGTAAGCCGTGGTTCTCTGGATGGGGCTGATGTGAAGAACCATGCTCTCTCTCTCATGGAGGCTGCAGTAATTAGCTCTACTCAATGTTATGGCACTACATCAATCAGAACCTCTTTTCATCCCGCCAGTACCCTGATTGGACCGTTTGTTCGGCCTCTCGTGGGCCAGTGTTCAGACGCTGCCGCTGTTTTCTCTGTACCTCTAGAGCAGAGCTGGTAACAGGTCCTGCATGTGACTGAAGCACTCAACCGATTTGCATGGATGTAGCAGGAGACATACAAGAATGTTTCAATAATGAGGTAACAAGGCCATTGCACCAAACCTGACGTGATGTTGGATCCATACATCTCCACAATCTGTCTGTGTCGAGGTTAGCAAGCCTTTTAAAATATCAGATAATTTGACTTCATGACTAGACAAACTTGAGGTTGTAAAATGTCATGTTGTGTGATTAAAAAAAAAATGTATCAATGCATAAAAAATACCTTTTACCTAAATATATTTAAAAAGTAAACACATATTTCCTTTTTATGTACAGCTCTTGATCTAATGCTTTCCCAGTGTGGCATTAATTATTTCATCCTAAATTGTACAAAAACTCTGGATCTGTGAGACAACTTAATCTAACCTGGCAGGATTTAAATAGGTACATTCACTGGCATCAGAGGTATCATAATTATAGAACAATTACAACGAGATTTAAATCAGTACAAGATCATAATATTCATTTTTACATTTTCTTGCTGTTTCTCTTATGCTGTTTAGGCATCAGTGGGTGTGATTTGATGAGATTAGCTTTTGTTAGCGCAGGTGCCGTACATGCTTAAGGTAGAGATGAGAATAGAACAGACAAATGCATTTTGATACCAAGACATTTTAAATAATTTAGTCATGATTTTGACTTTACAGAAAAAGCAAAGATAAAGACTTTTCCTCTCTTTCTGTCAGTTCTGATTTCTGCTCTGCTGATAGGAGTTAATCATCCTTGATGTTCAACAAAACATGAAAGAGAAACTGCTGTTCTGTTGTGTTTCTAAGAGCCCTAAACGCGACAATGTTCCATCAGATTGGTAGCTCCAGAAATGACTTTGAGACTGCTCAGATGTGCTGGATTAAAATGGACCACACTCAGTTCACAGGCCACGAAAACCTGATGGTGTGGAACAGAGTAGGCAGTACGGTCATTTCAACCGCTAGATGAATGGCCAATCTATGAGGTCACTTTACCATTATACTCCTCAGGGCCAAAATAAAATACAACCTTATTTACTCCCACAAAATGGGTTTGAGTGTGTGTGTGCGCTTGTGAATGTTCAGCCTCAACTGCATTTGTGAAGCAAACGAACGTTGACAGCAAAAAAAGAATTATCCTACGTTGCAGTTTTAGCCCACAGCTCAACGGAATTACCTCAAAACACAAGAGAATTAGCCCACAACACAATGGAATTAACCCACAATATAACTGAATATTTTCAGCTAAATTAAATTTTAAATTCAATGAAAAATGGTGTATCACCTCACCATGCTAAAAGAAAAACAGTTGCTAATTGTGTCAGATCATTCTGTGGGGGATGAAATGTATAGGCTAGTTTACTTTATAACAGAAAAAGGTATTTCAACTCTCATACCTCAGGCTGAGGTATCTCAACTTTCATTTCAGTATTTTAATATGCTTTATCTTGATAAATAAAATCACATTGTATAAACAGAAAAAAGCATGATGTATTCAACAAAAGAGGTAGAGCCAAAGTCATTTTTAATCAACTAAGCTCACTCTCTGGCCATCTTGGAAACACTCCGGTCAGCTTTTTTCTTGCCATGCAAGTACAGCTCTTATCTACTTAAATGAGGGCACAGAAACATCTCCAGTGTTTGCCAAGCTTATGTTTCAATAACATTTCACCAAATTAGCTTTAACCAGGTTCAAAGAACACATATTTTTCTTGGTCAAGTTAACAAAAATTTAAGGGGGTCTGAATACTTTCCGTACCCACTGTACATCCTAGAGCACTGAAAAAAAACACCTAAATAGTGCCTTTGCCTTTGATTGACTCTTGTAACGCATGACTTCAAAACCTAAGACTTGCCTTCTATTAACAACATCTTCAGTGTTGTTTTTCTAATTCATTTTTCAATAGATGGTTTGGCGCATCCTTACTGTATTCAGTTAACATTATGATACAAAGAAAATCATTGAAACATGTTCACAAAAAAAAAAGCAATTTGTGCAGTTTATGCACCACTAGGGGCACCAAACTGAATTCCTGTCAGCCAGTGTTCAACAAGCAAGCAGTTCGACCATTTGTTGAGCCAAATTTTGAACTGGCAAAGGAAAAACATTTTAACATTTAGAGTGTGCTTCATCTCTTTGTCAAAAAATAGCACTGTAACTGTATACAATTAAACTAGAAATAATTTGTAGCTGCAGGATAAAGGCCTTTGTTTCATCATTTCAATGTGAGCTAAACGGTTTGTTATTTATGTCACTGAACATTGCTCTTGCATGCTATTTTATTAGCTGTAAACAAAAATATTGGATATGGGCAAATGCTTACAGTGGGAAAAAATCTTCTAAAGAAACTCAGTGGGGGATTTGATTTACTGAGCCACATAGTACCATCTGGAGACGGGCAAGCTTCCCCCAATATGAAGCAGTTACATTACCCCACCCACTGACAAACATGCACATGCAATTTACCCTGACAGGCTAAGACAGTATAACATGAAACATTGTAACATGATCTCCAGCATGTATAACCAGATATATGCATACACTGCAGTCAAACAGAATTTCACATCAAATAAAAAAAGGAAAAATGAGAGAGAGAGAAATGTATCTTACCCATACAAATAGCAGCATGACAAACCATTTTACAGAACATAAAGAGCAAAGCAGGTTTCAACAACACAAAAAGCAAAGCTTTAATTAAGCATAATGTTAATTAGTGTCAGTGTGCTGGAACACTTGTTCTGTCTGATTATCAGCTAATTAATCTCTAGAGAAAACACACTGAGCTCAGAGAGACAGATTAAAATCCAGAGACCAGCGTGACCAGCGGCATGAGCGAGAGCGATATCAAATGAATAAAAGGTAAAAAAAATTGTAAATGTATAATGTTAAATGACCTGTGGCAAGCAACCATAGGCATAATAAGCAAATGGCTAACAACCCAGGCAATTAGATTCCACCACCTATATTCCCAGCCAATCCCATTCGGTGTCTCTCTGTGATTTCCAAATGGGGTGGAGTCCAAACCTTTCTAAGATGGAGTCTGTTTACCCTGCTAACAAGATCTGAACCCTTGGGGGCATCGACCGCTGTCTGCAAGAGTCAAGTGTGTGTGTTTTCAAGATTCTCTGGATTTCTCCTTTATAAACATCTTTTCTAAGGGGTTAGGGGATAAAACGTCTGTTAACCAGAATGTTTTGGCTCCTCATAATGCCATGTGTTCTTCTGTTAGCTATAAGGGATATTACATGACCTCTTTTTGAAGTATAAATATTTTACGGAAGAAGATTCCATTGCAGACGTCGCAAGTGTACAGCCTTAGGAGAGAAACATCATTTATGCAAGTACACAAAAGCAGAGATGAATGGCTAGCTTGCACATTGCAAGTGTGCATGCTATGCGTATTCTCATGTTACTGTGGCCATAACAAACCGTGGCACTCAAGGGGGATGATAGGGTTACCTTCAAACACCTGTGGCATTACACCAGAAGTGTTATTTTTCAAGTAACTTGCTAACATGTTTTAAAATCTACATTTGCTAACAAGATTCATTTCAACTTGTTGCTCTGCTATGACAGTGGTTGACCTGAAGAGAAAACTATCATAGAAGCAGATAGAGTTCACAGTTATGCAGGCTACACACCCCCTTTTCACCAACCAAAGATTCAATATCTGGCTGGTTTGCATTGTCCCATTAACACTTGCTGGTAGGTCCAATAACTACACACAGATTAATGACTCTGCAGATCAGCATAGTCACTACTGAAGGTTTTGAGACTGTGCATGTTTTTTGTTTTTTTTTGTAGGTGCCATCAGCCATTAAGCTTTATCATGACATAACTGTCGTGCAGCTCCAGAGTTATCATTCACATGGCAGATTTAAAATTGTTTATTTCCGGGGCGTGCCACTACGATGAATAAGAATGTTAACAGGTATTTCAGACCTCCTGGCGGCAACACTGAGAATGTGTATTCATGTTGTTATGACTTGCCTTTTGACATATTTCAAAATGCAATGATGTGTGAAATTGAGCTTCCATAGCTAGAAACTCCTGTGTTCACGTACTTGTGTAGAGTATGTTTTCGGGCCTTACTCTGTGAATGTGTGTGTCTGCAAGTAGCATATACATATACATAATGTACAACTCAACTGGAGCAAGAAAGCAGAGAGAAAAATATGGAAAAGGTCGTAGAAAGGAGGATTACGTGGGTTTAGTAGTTGTGTTGACCTTCAGTTGCTACTTTTTGTCCGAACTTGCTGTTTTTCTTAAGTAGCTCCATCAGAGAGCGCCAGTCAACTGCCCAGTGGCACAGTGAAGTACCCATCTGCCCCCTTTGATTCAACACATGTCTGGTGCAAGTTTATACATCCTTTGACATAAAGTCAGTGTAGACATATTTTTTACATTAAAGATTCAACACCTCCATCTCCAATTTACGTAAACAGCTTTTGACCTTACCACCTCTTCTCTGCCATCCACACTTGAGAACTTCATAGACCATTCTGAAAACAAAGTGGCCATCATTTGCTACTCCAACACCTCTGACACTGCCCATCACCTGATCCTATGTCCCACTCTTCTGCAAACTAGGTTCCCGTCGCCCACTCTGCTGTCAACCCTGTCTGTGAATAATTTGGATGAGGAAGTACTCCAGTTTCTCATTAAAAATTGTGCAACCACTGGTCTTGATGTCAGACTAGATCCGCTAAGACCCACACCAAGACCAGACACTCTTGGGAAGATTATAAAGCATTCCTTAATAGGAGGCCCTGCAGAAGTCCAGACTTTTTCCCCACATTTTTTAATGGGTATTTTGCTTATGTACGCTACAACAGAGACTTGATGATAAGAAATTATCTAATACAGGGGTAGCCAACCCTTCTCATGGATGGTTACCTTCCTGCAGACTTCAGTTCCAACAACACTCCAACTCACCTGCCTGTTATTTACAAGTAATCCTGAACACCTAGATTAGCTGGTTGGAGCTAAACTCTGCAGGATGGTAGCCATCCATGAGCAGGGTTAAGCCTAGTTCAGACTACACGACTTTAAAAGTCGGCTGATTGCTGTGCTGTTCAGACTATATGACTTGCTCTCTGTCTTGAAGTCGTTGTGGTGTTCGCAGTACATGACACTATGTAAATGATCCACAACAGGGGGTGACACACTACATGAGCGGACAACAACTCTGTGACCCAATGAATTTTGTCAGGAAAACACACGCAAAGCACAAGTGGAACAGGATATGATGTGAATCGTGTGAGGAGTTGTTTATTTGAAAATGGACGTCAGGAAGAAATTAGCGCTGCAAGCTGTTTGTGTGATGATCTGATTTGAAAAATGTTGCTCTATTTCTTGTGTCCACACTTTTGGACACAAGCAGCCATGTTGCTGCTGCTGTTTTTCTTCCGGTGACCTCAACCCATGCCTTGCTCTCTGTTTGGCTGTAGATTGTCGTGACACCTGACTCCACAGGTTGTCGATTTGGCTGACAGGACCAGATATTTAGCATGCTAGATATTTGTCTGGCATCGGCGACGTGTTGACTTTCAAATCGAGCTTAAATCAGGCTTAAAATAATGTAGTGTGAACTTGGAATCAGTTACTGCTTATCTAATATGTAGGCTCCCCCTTAAGTGGTTTATCCCAAGACCTAATGCTTCATACTCACAGCTTCATACTCAAGTTGTTGGCAAGAGATAGTGCAGCCAGGATCAGGGTAAAATGGGCAAGATTTACTCACTAAGGTATCAAGGTGATTTCATTTGGCCTCTTAATATCAACCACCCTGTACCAGCCCTTCTATACACTCTGATCAATATTTTCTTGTTACCTAGCTAGGGCAAATTTCATACCCTGATACCCTTCATACTCAACTCTAAAAATGGTCAAAACACCAGGCTCGCAGCATTAAAATCAAGCCTCACTTCAAGATTCACCTACTCTAGATTACTCACCTCACACAGGGATTATTGTCTTTTTATAGCAGTATTTCAATCAGAAAAATAGTTTGACCCATTTACAATGTCCTAGTAACCATGTTAGTAAATTTAAGATTTAGAGGAAATGAATGCATGTCTTCAGCTCTGGTCTATTTAAAGGCTGGTGGGTGTAAATGTTTTTGGGCGTGTCCGGTGGGAGGGTGCAGGGTTGGGATGTGGCCGCCTGGCACAGCCAGTTTTGGCGTCTCGGAGCCAAAGACAAAAATATGCACACACATCCACACCCAAGAGAACTAACCTGAACAAACAGCAATAGTTATTCACTCTAGCACTCTCACCAGACAAGCAGATTTGAAAAAGCAAATAAATAAATGCAGAGTATTTACCCACATTTCTTCAGGGGACACAAGCAGCTCGCTTAAACAAAGGTTACACCATTCTTCTGTAGGTACATTGTGCCACTGAGGATATATTTAGAAAGTGAAATATTGAACTCTTATGAAGTTTTGTTTGTTTCTACGTCTTATGAGTTTGGGTCATGCTTCACAAGTGTCACGTTGGTTTCTGAGAGGAGGCAGTCAGAATACTGAGAGGTCAAATCAGGTCGGATCAGATCAACATGATGGAACATATCCCCAGGGTCAGACTTCACAGACACACACAAATCACATAATAATCTACTAAATCTACAACTCACAATTGGTATATAACTGTGTGTGAGAGAGTGATAGATTAGGTGTGTTTGTGTCAAATCTATTTGCATTATTTTGGCGAGAGGATTATGAGAGGTGTTGAGCATTTGTAGGTCACCACTCGTTTAGTGTTTTTTTGTTTATTAATTTGTTAAAATGTTCATTGAAATGAACACTACTGCTTTAAACAATGTATTGTTTTCTGCTTTGGATTAATCACTTATGCTTGGATTATTCTTATTTGTAATGCAGAAGTAAATAAATAGTAATTCAAATGTTATGTTAATATATAATTATATGTTAATATTAATATGTAAATTAAATAAATACAAAGTTCTGTCATGAAAATCTAGATGGCACAGGTCCATAGGTTCTAACTCAATCTGATATAATCATGATTATTCACATGGCACAGCTAATTGACCTATCGGTAAGCCCCTCCCCTCGAATGCAGATGAGCCAATGGCAGTCGAGTATTAGTTGCACGGGGAGCAGAACTCGGACATCTTTAGGTTTCAGCGCCATAGAGAAACATTGGAAGATCCGAAGCTCGCATCGGTTTAATGTTGTTTATTCTACGAAAAGGGAAAAACGATGTGCCTAGGGTTCTTGTATCACTGATTGCAGTTATCCTGAGAGGATAGGCAATGCAATTTATTTCATAAATCCAACCAAAACAGAGCAAAATGTCCCTAAGCATTCAACCCCAATCACAATAAAGACGAAAACATTCATTTTCTGGTTGTCATACTCTCATTAAATTACACTTTTCATCTGCTCAAGCAGAACATTAATGTCGTCTTGTGCTTCAGCAAGGTATCTTGGCTAAAACTAGATAACTTAGTGTTAAAGTTAATGAGTCCTTGCTAACATACAAACCTAAATAGCGAACTGTTCTCACGTGCAGTGAAAGTCAAAAACACACAAACGAAGGTCTACATTAGAGTGCCTCTCTATATTAATCTTGTTAAATGTAAATTAATTTAATCTTAATCTGCGGTATATGAACGGTGTTGATCCGGGATGTTGTCATTGCGATCGTGACGACCGTGACATAATTCTCCCATTTGCATTGTGATCTGTATTTTTACATATTTATTTTAATATCTTTTATATATCCCTCCATAGCATATTTAAGTCCCACTTGAAGGTCCATCTGTGTCCCAAATTTATCAGAAACACCTCAAAAGAAGGTTTTCACTGACAGCTGTAATTGCAAGACAGTGAGCAACTCTGTTTGTTTGTCCGAGTGAGCAACAGTAACTAAGGGGAGCGGGGCTTACCGATAGGTCAGTTGGTTTCTTTTCACATCAGCAGCCAATGAGCTTATTGTACAACACTCAAATACTTAGCTAGTGATTGCTGTAGCAGCTGCAGCGTGCTTCAGAAACCCTCCACCTTCCCCAGCTCCACCTGTATAGATCTGCTATTGGGTAATTTCATGTGTTACATATGGGGGTTATTTCATATATGTTATATGTGCAGCAGTCAATAACCTGTAGCCTGGTCTCATAAAAATACCTACCTCTGGGTACTTTTCTGCAACACCTTTTTTACGTACCTTACTGCACTTTCGCCATAGTTTCAAAGATAAATGTCCACTTAGTGGCGCTAAAACATGGGTTCAATACGTGAATCCTGGCACGTTTTTATTACGTTGATATAGGTATGTATTGCTGTGTTTTTATTACGTTGCTTCAGGTACGTATTGCGGCGGTTCAGATTTCAAATATCCGGGGACTGTCGCTAAAATTAATGCTCTATCGTGTTGGAAAAATGCTCTACACCAAACCCAACCCTAAACCTACCCGATAGTGCTAACAAATGCAAAACTGATATAAAAACGCATTTGTTGATGCAACTGTGCCATTTGAACTTCCTTATATGCAGATTTGATCTGTTTCGTCAAACCATAGTTACGCGGGATTCGAACTGGAGCTCCTCACCTCTCAAGTACGTCTGTCTCCGTACTCCCTGAGCTACCGAACAAACCTACTGTCTATGAAAACCCATAGATATGAAGCTGGATATATGTGATACTAACATTTAAAAAGCAGCAGTTTTCAAATCTAACAGCATATTAAAATTATAATTAACATAATATTATTCAAGTAATTGTGCGAAAATTACGCTTTATTAATCGGAACTCTGTACATTTGTATGAAAAGGAATAAAAGGTGTTGGAGTTTTACTGCCTCTAGTGTTCATTTCTTTTGGAAACTGCAGTGATATGTACTTATTGGTACGTATTTCGCATCTCGCGAAAAAGTGCCCCCAGGTACGTTTTTGCCATGAGACCAGGTAGGCAGCAGCAGTATTTCTTACAAGCTCACAGCAGCATGTCTGTGGATGTATTGGCAGTAGCAAGTCTCGGTAGTTGCTCTTGTCATGCAGATTACCTAAACTCTCAGGGAGTTGTCATGTCAGAAATACCGTTGCATTTATCTATAAAATACATTGACTTACTATTATTTAATTGTTATATATATATATATATTTATTTATTTATTTATTTATTTATTTTTCTGTCATAACTCTGCTCTTTTTCATCGGTTGGGTGTCTTTGTGATGTTGTGCTGTAGGTGACTTTTGAACGTCTGGGTGTAAGAGAGACAGTCATGCTCATTTTCCACTGAAATGTGTGCTTGTGCAGGAGCCGGTGCTTGGACAGGGGATCTGTGAACCTCTCTCAGAACTACCCTGTGATTTAAAATCAAATCATAATTAACCTGTATTGTAAAATCACATCTATATTATATAAAATAACATTTATTTATTACATTTTAGACATGTATAAACTATATTTATAAATGTATAAAGTTTAATTAGCGAAATTGATTAAATAATTGTTATATATATATATATTTATTTATTTATTTATTTATTTATTATTATTATTATTATTTATTTTTTTTATTTTTTTTCACAAAAGCAAACCTATAAATTTGGAACAGTAGAATATTGTTTCAATCACAGCTGATTTTCATTGACAGATATAAATGAAACATCTTAAAGGTTGAAAGTGTCACAGTGATACAGTGATAGCCTCTGTGTCAGTTCTTCAACAGGATGAGGGACGGATGTCAGCACACACATATTAGGTCTGTCAGGTGTGTTTCAAATGTGTGTGACCTTAGACTTTAATTCTAGGTAATTACCGTGTTTGCACCAAATCCTCCTGACCTGGACTAACACTGATGCTCAGCTGACCCACACACACTCCCACACAAGGGCTGCAGTGTGCCTAGTTATCCAGAGGAGATGACAGCAGCTATAATTACATTAGTGCTGTAAGTACATCTAATCACCTCCATAGTACTCAAGCTGCCCGGAGGATGCGGCAGCCAGACTGTGTATGTGTGAGCCTTACTCTCATAGTTATGTTCTCCCTAACTGTCTGTCAGAAACCATTACGGCTGACTGACCACATACTTGACTACAGGACCAGATATACAGGTAAACTCACATATTTACAGACACCCACACAGCCAGTTAATACCTCCCGGAAAAGACATTAGCCATTTTAGACCAACACTGAGTGCATATTCTTATATTCAGAGAGAGTATTCAAAGGATGAATCATCATTTACTCACCTTCATGTCATTTACTCACCTTCATGTCATTCCAAACCCGTATGAATTTCTTTCTTTCAACTTGTATTTTTATTTATTTTTTTGACAGGCCACTGGCAGATAAATCCACCCCAAACTCATGCCACTGGTCAAGCTACTCAAACACAGCCACAGTGTTTATAATCTTAAGGATATTATGCTACAATTGAGTTAGTTATAATTGTCTCTGCACATTAAACTAGGATAGAAGAAAGTATTTTAATGTTTTAAAAAAATTACACTTCAGCTTTAAATAAACTACTCAAGTTCAGTGACTCACTGGAGTCAGTCACGTGGTTCTTAACTGCCCTGTTGGTTTATATATATCAAATTCGTATTTCCACAAAATTAGTTTACCCTGGTTAGGGCTTATCTAATCAAAAGTGGGAGGGAAAATGCTGGCACTGAGAATTAAGAAACCCATAAAATATCAGTCATATAAAGATGATGGCAGTATTTTTAAAGACTTAAAGGGTAATAATTAAAGTTTTGTGAAGTTCTTCCAAAGACTGTTTTTTTGTCTCCTTATGAAGATGAAGAGAACTTATGTGCAGGTACTGCATTGCCAAAATGAACAGATGATTAAAGTAATCATCATGATTCCCCAGGGCCATATGACTACACATATGTACACATATCCTCAACATTTAATATCACTGTTTCCTAAATAACAATAACAATTAAAAACATATTAGTAAAATATTACTAAGGGTCTTTACAAATCATATTAACTAAGCTTTAAAATGTTGGAGTGAGTACTACAAAGTAATTATGTTGAGGCTACATAGCTGCATTATGAATAATCTGATGACTTGGCAATCAATGACATCTGGTATTGTGTTTGTGATGAGAGACAATGTGTAGAGTTGATATTCATCGTGTGGCTTCAATACAGAACTCGGATTCATTGACCTTCAGCAGTGCAATGGTGCTTCTCATCCGATTCACAAAGGAATCTAAACTGATCAATAGAGCATGCTGAGCGGCCTTTTAATCTTGTGTGAAATCCATGTTTAATGAATCTCTGATTATGATGGATTGCTATGATAGAGACGGAGATTAAATTACCTGATTCTGGATTACCATCTAACGGAACAGAACCAATGAAATATTCAATAAACAAACTAATTTTCTCCAACAAGTTTTGCATTGATCAAATGGGCCTGTGGCGGCTCTCTGTCTCTTTGCAACAGTGGATCTTCTGATAAACACAGCAGTTCATGTGCTGCTGGCTTTCTTCTTTCTGACATGATACAAAGCACAAATATGGGGGTTAATATAAACATCAATTATTCATATCTCTATAAAATTTTCTTCCTGGAGGAGCAAAATGAGAGAGATGGGATTGATCAAGACTCTAATATCAACCAGGACTGCAGCACAGTGAGAATCAACTATTTTTCCCCCCTTCTTTTTCTGAGCCTGTAATATGCTTTTATTAAACAGAAAGGCCCTTCCCCTCTGGGCTGCCTCTATTCCTGAAATCAAGCTCATCCAATTTAGTCTTTCTCAAGAACCTTCAACAGCTCAATGTGAAGGTTTTCACAACCTCCAAAATCTGTCTTTTTTCAGATAGTTACATTCTAACACTGAAGAAGAGCATTTAGATATAACAAAAACCCGACAAAAAAAAAGTTTCCTTTCATACGTCCACTCGACGCTGCATCAGTAGCTGATGCTATGCAATACACCCTCTAGGTGTGCCGATTATCTGAAGCCCGTATAGAATCATGCCATTGGCTGATGGCGCAAACACCACCTTCTGAGGTACTACATCACCAGCGCCTGAAAAGGTTGATGAATTATCTGCCTGTGCTTTCTGAGAAGCTTTTGGATTATTATTTGATTTTGGAAATTGTGTTTCAGCTAACCACTTCCAGTAGAGTTAGCTGAGATCTTTCTTTGGGATGAAACACGACTGTTTTACTTAAGTGTATTTACGCTGAGTTATACTGAAAAGTTTATTACTTAATGGGATAGTTTACCCAAAAGTCATTATTCTGAGGTTGAGTATCTCTGTAGTGTTACGTCTCTGTAGTTCTTACATGAAAGAGTTAGGGCATTCACACAAGGACTGTCATTCTGACTGACAACTGTGAATGGCTCTGGAGCAATAAAGGTGAATAAATAAAGATAGAATTTTCATTTTTGGGTGAACTATCCTTTTAAGGTTTGCTCAAATCACTAATTCTAAGTATAAGCAATTGTGACGCTGGCTACAAACCTGCTTCCAAATTGTTTAAATCGTATTTGGCGACAACATTTGTTAAGTCGCTATTACTATCGCAAAATCACTCTTGTTATTCAGTAGGCATCCCGAATAAACAAATAAACAAATACACAGCTGGTTATTTTCTCCTTGTGATTAACTGATTTTACACTGATTAGCCTGTTAGCTGCTAATCTTCCTTCCACATTAGTGATTCGATTGAACTAATGAGAGCAATATTACTCGCTATCAGCATGCACGCAAGCACAAGACCATCAGCAACACACACCCAAAAGGATGACAGACACAAATTCAACCTTACCAGAACTTTAGGCGATATTCCTACACCTGACATCAATCAAAAACTTGCAAGCAGAAAGCATTTGTGTAACTGTATATGAACACACCACCATACGTACACACGTCTAATGAAGTTAAGATGCCCAAAAGCAGCTGTATGAATGAGTCATTATTGTCTATTTCTGGAAATCCAGAGTGGAGATCAAAGCTGACTAGCAGAGTGGGTCCGGGCTGCATTAATCCACATGTATAATGCATGTCACAGTGTCTGGATGTGCTGGCAGCATATGGGCATAATGAGATGGTGGATCCCCAGAACAGCGGGAGACATTAACGACAAGTTTCTCTCAGGGACAATGAAAGCTCAGCTCACAGCAAAACTAAGTACAGATGTGCAAAGCTTGCCCACAAGCATCCTAATCTTGATCCAAGCTTACAAATGCAAAACATCTATCACTGATAGAATCATACACAAGGTAACCAAGCCTTCAAAGACAGAAGCATTTGTGTAACTGTATATGAACACACCACCATACGTACACACGTCTAATGAAGTTAAGATGCCCAAAAGCAGCTGTATGAATGAGTCATTATTGTCTATTTCTGGAAATCCAGAGTGGAGATCAAAGCTGACTAGCAGGGTGGGTCCAGGCTGCATTAATCCACATGTATAATGCATGTCACAGTGTCTGGATGTGCTGGTAGCATATGGGCATAATGAGACGGTGGATGCCCAGAACAGCGGGAGACATTAACCACAAGTTTCTCTCAGGGACAATGAAAGCTCAGCTCACAGCAAAACTTAAGTACAGATGTGCAAAGCTTGCCCACAAGCATCCTAATCTTGATCCAAGCTTACAAATGCAAAACATCTATCACTGATAGAATCATACACAAGGTAACCAAGCCTTCAAAGACACCAGACAATAGGGCACAACAGTGAGCGCCCGCCTTTTCAATGGCCTTGGTTGCGCCTACATTTCCCCATTTGTTTTCTCCATTATTTTCATTGTTGTCTTCAATATAGAGCTATGAGATGAATCAGAACATCTGAACAAACTGTGATACAAAGAAAAAGCATTTCCGAATATAAAAAGACAGAGGGTTAGTTCACGTTTGTCTTAGTGTTTTTGTTCATACAGTAGAATTCAATGGGCACCAAAATTGTTTGATTACCAATTTTCTTTAAATATATAGTTTTGTGTTCTGCAGAAGAAGAAACTTGGGTGAATTATCACTTTTAATTGTTTATAATTTAACTATTCATCCCATGAAGCACTGTAAATAACATAACAGAATCAAAAACTATAGAAAAACAGAAACTAATGACTTCAAGTCAGTGATTTTAAGAATAAAATAAACCTAAATAGTTTGAGAGTGTAGGTCAAATTTGGTTTCTGTGGTAACAGCGACTTCTCTGATTAGTAGATCTCTTTTTAGGATTATGGGTAATGCAGTTCTTTACCAGGAATTTGGCTATTAAACATGACCATTTTTTAAATCCCACTGTGGCTTCTACAGAACCACAAAATACACTTAACAACTTTAGATCTCATGGTAAATCTGTCTTAAATGATTGATGCTCTAACATTAAAAGTGAAAAAAAGTGATTTTATATCTGGAACATAACTGTTGTGATCTGTACCAGCTATGAAAGAACAAGCCCTGTCCGTCATGGCCCTGATTGTGATCTGATCATACAAATGCAAAAAATCCATCAATAAACGAACCGTATAAGAGAGATTATTTATGCACACAATCATTTGCTTCTATTTTAATTCCTACAAAAGTAATTTTAGGATGAACAACTGAGAAAAAGTTGACACTTGATTGAAACAAAACAGAAAGAAAAAAAAATGAGAAAATTCACGGATCATCACCAAATTGCTCATGGATCATTGAAAGAAGTCGCCCTTGCAGGACGTTTTGATACCATTCTATATTCATGGCAGTGTTTTTGGGCAGAATTATGAGAGAGCCCACTCCCTTGGTTGAAAAGCAACCCCACACATGGATGGTCTCAGGATGCTTCACTGTTGGCACAGCACAGGACTCATGGTAGCGTTCGCCTTTTCTTCTCCAAACATTAGATTTTCCAGATGTCCCAAACAGTCAGAAGGGAGCTTCATCAAAAAAAAAACTTTGCACCAGTCTTCTGCTGTCCAAACCTTGTACTTCCTGCAGAATTGCAGGAAGATGGTGCCGACGGTGATGGCTGTTTTTTGTTCCATGGGTTTGGAATTACATGAGGGTGAATAAATGCATAAAGGCATTTTTGGGGAACTGTCCCTTTAAGTGGGAGCGGCTCCAATCAACTCACAAGTTGGCTTGAAGGGTGCCAGATAATTTTGTGAAGTAAAACTAAAGAGAAATAAGGAATCTACCATGGCAAACAAATCACCCCATATGTACATGCAAAAAAAATTAGAAAAAAAGTTGTGTCGATGGATGAAAGAACTGATGTGTAAAATGTGTATGACATGAATGCATGATCTCTCTCAACTCCTGTACTTCTTTTGTCCTTTACATTCAAAATATCATGTCCACAGCTCAGAAATGATGCCAGGGTCCAGTAGAGGGTCACAGCTGTGCCCTTTCATCAGATTACCCTCCAAACGAG